TAAAAAGAATGCAACCAAGTTGAGCCACCTTAAAACTGAAGCTCAGTCCTCTTTCGTAGAATCAAGTGACTTCTTAGGGAATAAAAGGAGCATCGTTCCAATGTGGTGTCACCATCATATACCATTGACCAATTAGCTCTCAAAATCCTCAAGTTATAATTCCCACGTGGATAAAGTAGTTTTTTATTACTTTTGAAAACCTGGTGTTATATGTTATTTATATTCCCTAGTTGATATATTTCGACTCTTAATATGACCACCAGTGTAAATCAGAAGTACTTATTACCCTTGGCGGTCGAAGGAGTAAAAACCCTACACATCTTAGTCTACTTTCTTTCCTTTTTCCAGGTCAATAATGAATGAAAGCAGACAAACAACAACAATCCCATGACATGGGTTCTCGATTCTCTCAATTCTTCCCTGAATAACAACTTAGCAAATGAACGATATAAACGAGCCAACTTCTTTTTTATAGAAATAATATTTTAATCTCGGTAACCATAAAATTATACAACATTAACATAGAATTTACAAATATATTATACGTCTATGTACAAACGAAAAGCCAATTCTCTGGCACTCCAAGGGGGTCAACTAGGCCCAGTATTCTTTTATAATATTTAAAAATCATTTCTGAATATAAAACATTCAGTATTAAAAGTACAATTTCTTTGTTAAAAATGGTAAGAATTTTTGAGAATTTAAGAATCCACTCGCTCTACTTTGCCCACAACTTGTCCATCATATGTAGGCAAAACAGTGCTGTCATCTTTAACTTCTTCCCAAACGACAAGACAATCTTTGTCTCCAGTCATACTTTTAAAATAGAATCTGCAGAGAGGAAAAGGTAATCTAAGTCAGTTTAATAAGAACATCTTGAGTTAAGATCTTTCTTTCATTATTTAAGATACATTCAGTGGCTGACGGGATCACATGTTCACTTTCTCAAAAAGAAGCAACACATTTGACCTGGCACACCACATCAAGGGAACCAAATAACACATTGGTCCATAACAAAACCACAGGTTTCCCAAGTAATTGGGCCTGGTGGACAAAATGCTGCATCCTTCCAGAAACTAAACACCTTTTATTTCAATTTTTCAGATTTTGAAAATTGACTTGCTCTCTACAGGAAATGTGAGCAAGTTCTCTCAAGCACTAATGGCATTTAAGCACGCCATGTCAAAATTTGATTTGCTTAAGTACACGTCAAAGTGATCAGTTTAACTAGTAAAATGAGTGTAACTGAGGTAATCTTCATTATACTGCCAATCATAGAATTAATTAAAAATTTGCTGCTTGTGTTTCAAAGACCTAACTTCTTGTTTGTTCACCACTTTTTTTTTCAAAAACTCATCCTTCTATTTTCATTCTGATAATAGAAGAATGAGTTCTGTTTTGTAGATTGCATATGAAACCAGTCTGTGTCAAACTCCCAGTTTTCTTTACTTTGTGGCCAATTTACTTTTATTTCAAACAATTTACAGGAGATGGGAAGACATATAACTTTCAACCCACCCAAGGTTATAGTGATTCTCCAAACTGAGCTAGACATTTCACATAATTTTAAATCTGAGAATTTTGTGTTTAATCAAAGAGTATTCCCCTAATTGATATTTTTCTCACCTCTCCTTACTTTTTTGATTAAAAATTTAATGATATTGAAAGGAGAAGTTCAGTTTCGGTCAATCTGGAGTGGGAGGGTTACACAACATGAGCTAATGAGGGATTCACCTTACCTGTAACTTCCTTTCCTTGGTGGTAACAAATCTTTAAATTGTCCAAGTGTTACACATTTTACAGGAAGTGAAGTTCGATAAGGAATAGGTTCTCTCCATAACCAGTATGTGATTGTCAATGAACCATGTTTGTCCTTCTTTTTTGATACTGATCCACAAAATCCACTGTCCTTACAAGTACTTATAGAATCAGCATGTGACACAGATGATATCCCAGTCACAGATGATGCAGCCTTGCAATGCCTTTCATGTGGTATACTTGAACCCTGCCCATAGCTAGAGTAGTCTTTTGTAGAACAGCATGATGAAGCACTTGTTTTTTCTCTGCAGGATGTGGTTTCAAAATCTGGTCCTGCTTGAGACCTAAAAAAAAAAAAAAAATGAAAAATGACTCATGTTCAATATGAACAGAAGGTAAATGAGATCTCTACACACTATGCTTGACTCACAAGATAGATGCACCACCAAAAATGATCAAGGTAAAGGGGGAAAGAGGGAGAAGATGGGAGGGAGGAACGGGGGAGAAACGAGGGAAGGTGGGAAGGGAAAAGTTGGGAGGAAAGGGGAAGGAAGGAGAAAGGATGGGGAAGGGAGTAGGGAAGGAGGAGGGGGAACCCAAGGAGAAGCAGATATACTACTGGTATGGTATGGCCTCTGAGCCTGTGACTTTACCTTCTTTCTCCTCGTTTCATCACAATTCACCCATGTATATAGTAAAAATCATTGTGTTAATTCATGATTACCTCTGCTTTTGATAATACTTGCTCCGTCTCTCCCCACCACTCTCCATGTTAATTAATCTCCTCCTGGTTTCTTCCAAAACAGAAGATGCATGAGGTGCTGGAAGAGGAGGCATCATGGGATCAGAGGCTATGGGTTGATCAGGTAAATGCAGTGATGGATTCTTCTCAGACTGTCTGGTGGATGATGCAGTTGACATTTTTCCTCTTGAACTATTCCTTGTAGAGGAAGAATGATGGCGATGAGACTTGGACTCTTTTGAACCCTGCTGAGCTTGTTCCCCTTCCTTCATCCACTGTATAATGCGATGATGATTCACAGTCATGAAAGGAATGTCATCATCCCTACGCTGAGGACGAGCTTCCCATACATTACCATCTCTAACAGTTGGCTCACTTGATCGAGCTTCCATTACTGCTTCTCTCTTCTCTACAGTGGGTTGCTTGGTCCGCTGAATTTGTTGTGGTTCAACTTGCCGACTATTACAGGTGCTCACTGCTACAGGTGCTGTGGTAGTGGAAGCAGCAACTGTTTCCACTCCAGCTACAGCAGTGTCAGTATAATAAGGTTCCTTGAAAGAAGCCACAGCTTCCTTGGCCATAGTAGTGAGATAAAGTTTTTTCTTGTTCTCAGTGTTGTCGATTGCCTGCTGGAGAATGGACTTTCTTGGTGCCTAAATCAATATAACAGTAGAATAAGACAACTTAGAAATGTGCTTCTACACATTACAGACAGTGGCCATAAGGCCATAGATATTTGTTATTCATAGTGCCACAATCTGCTATGGTTGTTGTGTAAATGGTAATTAGCTACATTTTGAACCCCTTCTCTTAGAGAAAGAGGAGAAAGTTAAGCTTTGTGTGGTAAATACTAAAGTCAGTTTTAAAAGAGAAAAAAAATCATTCAGCAATTTAAAGAGAACCATCCCAAGCATTTAGTGTTCATCCACACTGTCCTTCTGAAAAAATTCATACTGACTTTATAAAAAATCAAAGTAAAACAGTGGCAGTCTACCTACCTCATAATGAGTTGACAAGTTATGAGCTTCCCTTTCATCTAATTCACGCTGAAGCTTGACTTTCTCTAGTTTTTCAATCAGTATTTTGGCAAATTCTTCAGGATGTTTTGGGTTACAAGCCTCTTTAGGAATTCTCTGGGTACGCTGAAGAAATAAAATAAGATTTAACCATCACTGCTATAATAATTCAACCCGGTGCAAACCCTCCCAGGCTCTGTATTACAGGGTTAACTTAAGTGTAAATCAAAGAATTTACTAGAGTGAACATTAACTCAACAATTTACCAGTATCTTTTTCACAATCAAATAATTCTGTATTTGTATTAGTCCACCAGAAAACTATTTAAGAAGTACTTTCATGTGCACCTTGAAATAAAAAATGTAATTACTAACCGGAACAAACTGCATCATTGGAAGACCATCATGATATCCAAATTTCTTACTGCGTGCTGAGCACTTCCTTCGGCCACTACATCTGGATGATGTATCACTGAAACCAATCAATGATGAGAACTTAAAAGGATAATACTTAGACATGCAAAATGTCCAAGAACTCAAAACCAGGAGAAAATCTGTCATTTTTTGCCCATGCATGCATGAAATCACGACAATAAAAGAAATAATCAGTGTTCTAAGAAGCTTTAAATGGTTCATGAATTCTCCTTGTTGGTACTGTGGAAATGATTGGAGAAGAGTATAGAAAATGTAAATACTGATGTCAAGGTGTCAAGGTTTTTGGTTGATATATAAATTTATTGACTTACTCAGTCAAACAACTGTCAGTGGTCACTGAGAGAGTATCTTCCGTCATTGCATCACTTGATAGACTCTGATTTTCGGATTCAATTCTGGATCCCACAGGCACTGTTGGATAGTGGTATGGTGACAATAATTCATTCATGGGAACATGTAATAAACACCTGTGGATATCAAAGCGTAAATTAAATTAATCATTCAAAGACACAAACCTAAAGTACGGATAGTCACAAAGACTTAAAAAGACCAGAAGCTGAGTACAACATGACTTGCAATCTAAGAAATTTACTTTAAGTGATTGTCTTAAGACACAATCTATGGATTTAATCCAGTAGGCATTCAAATACTTTGTCTTGCTTGTGGGATTTCAAAAAAAGTATCTTATACACTTGACATTGGGGTAGAATTAAAATGAAATCAGAACAAAATCCCACAATATCTACTTGAAAATTTTCTTGTCAAAATATTAAAATGGACTTTTGCAATGACAGCTTAGGTATCAGGGGTACATTGAGAAAAGTAGAGCAAAGTCAAAATTTTGCACAACTACATGTATCATTGTTTGACCATCTATAATGCAGTGAACAGTTTTGCATAAACAATTTCAGACATAAGAATCTTGTCAGACTCTCCTTTCATTTTACAGCAGTGTGATAAAAACAAGAAGCAGAAGCATCTTGATCACCACAAAAAATAACAAAGCAAGAGTGTCATGAAGTTGCCATTTTCAAAGAACAAAACACACAGCATTCTGATTTTTTAATTAAATACCAAGGGAAAAGTCAGACTTCAAGCAAGGACTAGTTCCTATTCTTTGCCCTCGGCTAGTTTGCATAAATCAGGGATACTGCCTAGTCACAAAACAAGAGAAAACTATGTACAATTTATACACACAACTATAAAATTGAAGTACAAAAGCTGAATATTCAAATGTGAAATAAGGCACAATTGGCATTAAAAGTTAGATATGATGTGTGGAAAGTAATCTTTAGTGAGAAATTGATCATTTTACAACGACCGACAAACAAATTCGTGATCAGTGAACAAGGCTGCTTAGTGGAGGTTTTCATAAGAGAGGTGTCAGAAGGTAAGATAGTACGATTATCTGAGATTTTGAACAAAAGCAACCTATAAACCTATTCAAATGCAAGTGTTTTTAAGAGCAGCTCTTACGATAGTACTAAAATTCAAGAATGCAGAAAGACTGGATAACAATGGAGGAACAAATCAAGAACTCAGTGGACTTCTTGACCCCTTGGAAACAAAAACATCCTTCTTAAGATCTGTGGTCACACTCCAGTGAGTTTTGAGAAGAGAAACAACTTTTTTGAAAGTATAACTTAAAAAAACACAAGACCTTGTAAACAGTAATTGCAATAAAATATGCTCCAAAGGTACTTATGCTTCAGTTTATCATTAACTTTAAACTGCTGAATGCCACCTATGAAACTATTTCAGTGCCATGCACAAAATGAGATCAACTCTGAACTGGCCAAAAATTTTTAGGATTAACAAAATCATATTTGTTGAGTTTGGTGAATTTTTCTACCATTCACTGACAGCTAAAAAACAAATGTTAATGCATGTTTGTGCAGACTCAATTTGCCATTTGATTGCAAAGCATTTATGAGAAGCCCATTAACCTTTCTTTCCGATACACGCTGGAATTCATAAATTAGGAATCTCATAAACAGCAAGAGAACTAAAAGCAATCAAATGACACCACACAGAAGTCTTTCATGAGAAATTGCAATCAACCCGCGAAATCAGACTTCTTCAAATTTCATTAACCCGATACCACTTCTCGAGTGTCTGGGCACCCCTGGAAGTTGCTGCACAAGAATTCACACCCTCTCAAAATTACAAGTACTTCTGACCAAATAACAGAATACACAAGTAACCTGTTTACTCGGACGGAATGAGAAATAATTTAAAACAATAATCAAAAACTAAGGTAAGAATCGTGGCGCATTTTGCAATTGAAAACGATTTGGTCATGCTGGAACACTTGATGGATTTAACAGAATTTTGATGCGATCATTTCAGGGGGTATCCAAAAACCTCGCCTTAACTGAAAATGTCATTTGTTACACAAAACACAATGCTGTCGAATGGAAATCCGAAGTTTGTTGATCAATCACTTGTGTTTTTTAAACAGTGCGAGTCATCCGCCGGAGCGTACAAACCATTGAGTTCGCAAGAGATACAATGAGATTCGATTCAAGAGAATGACAATTACTCTAGTCGATTTGACGACTTCTAATTTTATCAGGGGTCAAACAACTTAAATAATATCACTGGCACATTTGAATAGGCACCGAAACCGCCACTTGCTTCAGTCCAAACTCTGAATCCAAGACAAAAATAAATGCTTAGCACTGCTTCACAAGCCAAGAAAATCTTAGCACTTCTGATTACAATGTATAGATTCCTTAGAAATTAAAAATTGGTTCAATTAGCCGGGCGTGCGGCATAACACTCAGTTACCATTGAAATGTTCGCTGTACGAGAACTTGACAAAGTCCTAATATAAACTTTGCCTTTTCGAAAGCTAAACGCTTGACAAGAGATGCAATATCCCATTCTATTAACCATCTTGACGATTTCAGCTATAATCTCACTCGCGGCACCGAAAATAAATTCCCTCCACTTGGCCGCTTTCATTAACTACAAAGTCGGTAAGATTATCGTTTGAAAACAACAAAAACTAAATTGCAATAACATTGCTTAACGACGGCCCAATCGCCTTCCGAAAACATTGAATGTAAATTGCCGCTGATAACTATGCACTAGAGCTGTCAGGCAACTCAATGAGGTATTTCAAGTGTAGAAATCCAACAAAGTAATTGCAAGAACGCTCCAAACAAAAAAGCGGCATATGGTAGGAATTGAGCGACTAACTTACCGCGCATCGAGTTCATCGGAACCCGATCTCTTTGCACAATGGGACAATCCTTTCCCACTTTTGCGATGTTGCTCAAATTCAAATTGGTCTCCATCATCCTCAAACTCATCAAATCCTAAAACTTTTTCCTCCGGGAGGGTCGGTAAATATCCACCATGAAATCTGGCCGTATGCGTAAAACGTTCACAGATACCTTGTGAGCTTTCGCCGCCGCTCTGGATGCACTCCTTATACAATGTTGTGTTCATAAACCTCGGATAATGATTATTTTTCAAGTTCGCCAAGATTTCGGATATAGCCTCCTCAAAAAGTCCACAATCCACTGGCTGATCGTTAACATGCTGAGCAATTTTCATTCGCGTTGTGTCGCTGACTTCCAAAGCATTACAACTCCCAGGGAAAATAAACTTCTGGAAAATCGCTTTGGCGGTTGTCCGCATTTCATGAGAAATCGGTGCCATTCGCTTGAAAGACTCGGACGCTCGCCAGAAATCTAGAAGAATTTCGCTATTCTCCTGCTTTAGAAACTGATAAAATGATTTAAATCCTTGGCAATCGATAAGCATATCGTTCAAAGTAGAAGGCCATCGCTCGCATTGAGGAGTAGAGGCTGCGCTACCCTCCGGTTCAAAACCCATCGGCGCAAGTTTCTCTTCGTCTGATTCTAGTCCTGAATAACCTCGCGTAGCGATCGATTCCTTTTTGGAAACCCTTCTGGGTGTCATTCTAGGACTAGAAACGAGCGAATCTGACTTCAAAGAAGCCACAAAATTTCCTTTGGAACGCTCACTGTCGTTCGAATCTTCACCGGTTGGAGGGGGCCGCATAGTTGTGGGGCAGTCTGCCGCTGATGATCGCGCCTGTAATGTTTCACGTGTGGTAGATTTCTGTTGTGATTCCTTAAGACCATAATAAACCTTTCGAGAGTCTCTGGCGAGCATTTGCTCCGAATCCATCGCTAAGAATCGCGGAAGACTGCAGACCGCATTCAGTCGGGATGAGCGCACAACCTGCTTTACAGTCGTTCGTCGGATCTTTCTAAGAGAATGCCTCGCAGAGATCAAAAGTACGCCGCGCTGAGCCCCCAAAGCAAATATTCAAATACATATATCACTCGCGACGCTCTGATGAACTGCTCAAAATGTCCCTAGCAGCCGATCGCTGAAAAGATCTGAAGGAAAAATGGCCACACGATCGACGATCCTGGCGTGAAGGTATTGATCTTGAAAGATTTCTAGCGCGAGAATGGTTTCGCAGCTCTCTACAGCGCTCCGCATTTACTTCTAAGTGTTTTCAAGTGCGGTGGGCTTGCAAAACTACTTCAAAAGATGCCGCTCAGCAAAAGGCGGCGCACAAACGATCAATCCCTCGGGAGAGAACGTCACAACGGAGTAAGAAACCGCACCAATCAGAGAACGCACTTTGGTGCCCCGGGTGATAGCACGTGCTTCATGCCAACTTCACACATGTTGACGATGGGTTTAATTAAGCGCAGCTGGTTGAATCTTTTCTGATTGCTTTGCAATGAGAGGTACTGAAAACCCAACGAGTCGGGACCGATCTGGCTCTAAGGCGGCTCTTTTATGGCCATCTCGGGAACTGGTTGGGCCGCATATTCTCCCGGAGCTATTGTGTTCCGTGCTAAATGAAGATTTAGCGCGGTGAATCGTCTTAACCACAAAATGAATTAAATGCTCTCATTACCAATCTTGGATAAGCAAAGAGCGGCAAGTCAAAAGGATATCAATGTCAATCAAATTCGACAAGTGAGTTCTGGTGATTGTTTGGTCGGCGGGGAAATTTGTTTGTAATTTTTAATCAGCATTCATGCCATACTTTTCAAAATGGCTACATCGGAGAGCATCTACACGCAAAGCTTAGATTTCTTTTGGTTCCTTTTCGTCGCTCCTTACCCTACTAAACTGGGTAAATATTGTCCAGTATCTACAGCCACTTACACTGCCGGCCGCTTTCTGAAATCTCTGGCATTCTTATTCAAAATATCTGCTAATGAAATTTTTTTATTTGATGAAGTGTCGGTGCCCATGCAATTCAGTTAACACATTATTGCCTGAATTACTGGATAATATTTTTTTCTGCAATGGTTGCCCTTGTAAGCTAAAGCGGCATCTTTTCTTATCGAGCTTAGCCGAAATTAAGTTAAAGACCGAGAGGGACACCAACTTATAGATGGCAGTAGTAATTATTTGTCCTTTCGGGTCCCTTTTTGTGTTGCTAGAGAGTGTTTGCAAGAGTAATTTACAAGTAAAAAGTTGATTATAACGGAGAGGTAGACAAACACTGCTTAAAATTTGCTTGCCTTACTTTTCAGAAACTAAAAACCGCTCTTTGTGACCTAAGTTATCTCGAGTAGCGGGGACAAAAATTTTAATATTACACGGAACAGCAGCGCCTTGGCGGTTCCCTTTTATGTGCGACCGGTTCTTTTGATGAGAAAAAGTTATGTTCCCTTATCATTCCTGTTTCTCACGTTTTAACACGTTCAACCCAGTGAAGTACCTGCGATAGGGGAACGAAAAGAAAACATTTTCGCGATCGTAACAGGCCCAAAGACTAGTTTATATGTACCCCACCAAATGATACTCTCTCGTGGATTTGTTTGGGAATTTTGTAAAAGAAACCCGGCTTAAAATAACGACCTTCAGATGAACATGCTGGGCATTTTTGACTGCCAAGTGATTTTTCCTGACGTCTTGAGAAATATTGTAATTCGTCCCTGGGTCACGCAGAAGAAAGCGTGGAATTAGAAGCCACCAGACAATAAAATGACTCGAGCGTCACTAAAAATAGTGTGATTTCGTGGCAAGGAAACTGAATTCACGGCAGAAAGTAAATGTGTTAGTTTTCCTGTCTGTACTGATACCAACGCAAACTATTTAATTTCGCGAGGCGGCGCGGATGTGAAGAATCGCATTGCTAAAACACTCGAAACCAACCGAAGAAAAAAAACATTAAAGGTACACGAAGCGCCTGTCAGACCTTCAACTGAGACATATGTTACCGAAGAATTAAAAGTTTCGAGCTATAAATCCACAATTAGCCACCTTAAGTTTTTGCACGTTATAACGAGCGACTATTTTGGAAGCGTTTGAACTTGCCGCTGTTCATTGCCGAAGTGTCAATTACTTCGTGAATAGAAAAAAATTGAAGCTGACAGTAGTTATGGCGTCGGCAAGTCCTTATACTTTCACTGTCTCAAAGGTTCGTCTGTTTCCGATTATAATAGCTTTTTAACAGAGCAGGCTATCTGCCTGATGAAAAATACAGTTCAAAATTTTCACGATCGGGAAAAAAGTGGATAGTATTCCAAAAAAACCAATGAAGCCTTGCAACCGGAAGTGCGTTATTTCAAACCGGAAGTTAAACATGGTACTAAGACAAAACGTGCGGGGGAAAAGGACTTGCTTGGGTTCTCGCTATTTCGACAAATGACTCTGACTTAGTGAGGCTAATTAGCGAAAGAAAACGCTGTCGTTTTAATAGGAGCGTTTAGCGTAAGCTCAGTATTTTCCTCTACCGCTGGAAAAGTTATCAGACACAAAAGATCATCCGTAGACTTTTGAAAGCCATCCCAGAAGTAATCGATTTCAGTGGTTGCACCCAAGGCAATTCAAAACCTAAACATCTTATTTCGGGAAACTGAAGTTCTAAAGGCTAATCACAAGCTAATGAGTTCACACAGAGTACAGAAGCAAGCCGCTCTGGCCCAACAAAGAAGAACGATTTAGAAAGGCGGGCAAAACGGCCTCAACTCTTTCTCACCGAAACAGATGGAAAATTCAATAGTTCAGAAATTTAATAAAATGAAATCGGAGCCAAGCCAAATTGTGCACTCTGACTATTGGGTAAAAGTGGACTTTATTACAAAGTCAATACGGTGAACTGTAATACTTTTTGAGGCCAAAAATTATTGCGACTTAAACAAATGTTTAAATAACGAACTCCTGCCTTTTCTTAAATGCAAGGCCTGGTTTTTAAAGAAGACGCCGAGGCTAAACATACAGAAATTTCTTGATCGCTTAACGGCAAAAAATTGTCACCAAACTGAGTCTAGAAGACACATTTAAATAAATACCACTTCCTTTTGTCAGAAGAATTTCACACTGAGCTTAAAAATCGTTCTTCAAATCCACTCAGTAATGCATGTTCATAACGTTTTAAATATGCTAAAAGGGAAGAAAAAAATATTTACGAAAATTCAATGCAGATGAAAACTTTAAGGAAATCAAATAAACGAAGTTATTTGGTTAACTTTTACCGGTGCATTTCAATGTCTTTATCTCTTTCATTTTTTTATTTTTTCTCGTATTCGACGAAGTCTTTCCCTTTCTTTGCTACATTAGCACGAAGGTGAAAAAAAAAAAGGAAGAAAGGTTGAAGGAAAAATCAATCAATCAATAAAGAAACTGAAAAAAAAAAAAAAAAATTTAAATTTACCCTGTAATTGTCGCCGATATTTCGAACTGTGGTTTGCCATCTTTAGCCAGTCTCGAAATTCAACATTAACAGCAGCAACTATAAGCCGACTCAGCTAAAATTGATCGGGTAAATTTTTCTTGTGCGGCGAATAATATTACAAAGGTATCCGAACATTAAAATAATCAGTGTGAGGGTTAATTTATCAAATGGTTAGAATGTTTTAATATTCCATTAAAACTCAAGGGGTGGCAGAATGGGGAAACGGCAAATTTTGTGAACTACAGTCTCCGGCTTAACGTCGGCGTTTGAAGAACACTAAACATACAACAAAGCGCACATTTGCGTAAAACAAATATTCCTTCACTTAAAAGCAAAATAAAAAGACGAAATATACAGATTCCAGTTTGCTTACAGTAAACTGTATTCGTCAACAGCTAAATTCAAAATGAATTGGCAGGGAAGCGCATAACTGGAGAATTTCTGTTTATTTCCAAGAGAATCTTTGTTCGTAGCCGAGGGTCAGGGTATAAACAGATGAAAATAGACGGTGTATGCCAAAGAACGCGACTGACATTCACTATCAACAAATGACTTTTAAGTCCATACCGGCAACCTTTTGCCTAATGACCAAGCCGGTTCATGAAAATCAATAGCTTTTATGAGGCTAAGTGATCTCAAGTTGCTGCATTATGATGAAGTAAAACTGTTGCCATGATCGGGGAATTATCTAGACCCTGTCAGAGGGATGGCTGCTGAAAAATTGCAAATTTTAAATATTGACGTCTCTTTTTAGCCAAATTCCTAGAAAAGAAGGGAGCTTTATTTCTCATTGAAGATTATAAACATTTAAGCCGCAGGCTGCCACTTTAATTGCGATGATTTTGATAAAATCAGCCCTAAGCCTTAAAAAACTACCTCCAATTTCAACAGTTGTTTATTCATTTCCAACTGGAGGCTGTGGAGACCACATTAAGAACTTGATCTTCCTGTAAAAGAAACTCCGAAACTTTTTAAGCGAGAAAGCAATACAAGGGTTTACGGGAAAAAAGCAAACAATAGCGGTTTATAGAAGATTAAAACTGTAAAAAAGGCGTCTAAAAGTCTATTGATCTGAAATGCTAAAACAATAACAAGCCCTTGCGAAACGGCTGAAAAGGAGAGATAGTCTTTTAAATTAGCGGATAATACCGTCACTTTCTATCTAATTCATAAAACTTGCTTTGAACAGTCCCTTAACCATCGGATAATTTTTTTAGCTTTTTGTTGCTCCGTGCATAAACACGAGATAAATACACCAACGTTTACATCATTAAAACGCAGAAAAGGTGCTGTAGATGATTGTATAGGATATGAGGCAGAAATCAATTTCCAATCTCTCTTCTTCTAGCTCATGCTGTTTAGGCGCCAAAGACTTCAAAGTCAGAGTATAAGCTAGCGTCTCTATGTAAATGTTATTTTGTATTCATTGCAGAAGTGGTCGTACCGCCACAAGCTCATTAAGCGACGATGAGCGGCCACAAAAGCTAACTTGTGACAGTCTTTAAGTGCTTTCGTGCCGTTTGACACGCCGCCAGAGTTTAAACAGCCTTCGCCCGAAACAAGCCCTTACATTTGCAGCTTTTCTTTTCCGATCGGCCGCTCTTGAAATGCTGATAAGAAGACCTCTAATTATTATTATACGAGTCCATCTGATCCTTAAAAAAGCATAATTATAATGATTAGCTCGAGCCTAAGGGGTAAATAGGTGCCGTATAATTTGAACATGCGTAATAACCTTCGTTTTCGTCTGGAATCGCTCCTTAATATGGCAACAATGAGTTGCCCTGAAAAACCAAGTGTTTTGAATATTAGCACTTGTACACCTCTAAAAATTAATGAACTTATTGAAAGAGCAGAAGCCACTTCCAGAGAAGTGCGATAAAGGTAAAAAATTTCCACGCTCAATTAAAAATTAAAACTTGGAAACCTACACTTGTCAAGAAAAACTGATGGAAAATGAATTAAAGGTTTTTTTTTTTTTTTTTTTTTTTTTTTTTTTTTTACCGACGAAGCAAACATTTGCGTTAACACTTCCAACTAGTTAAAATTTCGTCTCCCTTTAAATAATCTCCTGCTGGACCTGTCCTTCATCAACAACTTTTTTTTTACTGCAGGCATTTCTTTTAAAAGCGACAGAGCTTCTTCATTAAATAGGCGAGAACATACAATGAACTGAAAATGGTAACTAGGTGTGGAAGTAAACTTGCGACACCCCTTCAACAATTTGAATTATTGCACGAACAAATTTAATCGGGCATATGATCGTGTAAAAAAAATAACACGTAAATAAATCTAGTTAAAACTTCAACGATCTTCGCCTCAAGAGGGAAGTGGGAGAATATCAGGAATATCATCAGTTAATAATAAATCACTTTGACCCTCCTATAAAACGAAGTTAAGACAGAATCGTCGTCAAACTTGTTAGAAAAACTCACCATAACTCCATTTTGGAATATAAGCCTTGATTTAAGAATCGACGATCAATTCGATATGAAATTATTTCTAGTTCCTGCCCAACTCTGTTCAGTTGGTTTTCTCTGTGAGCACATAATACTTACTGACACTGACAGAAGTTCCAGCTGGTTCGGAAGGCAAATTTACCAGGTTGCATCTGGAAAACCTGTCAGGAAGTTGTTCGGAAAAAGGAAAAATGTCCTTCTCTATTTCCCTAATCCTCTTCCTTAGCAGCGGACTTGAGGAAATGAGTGGCGCACAACAACACACGCAAGTTTTTTTTTTTAGTGTAACGCATTTGTTGGTATTCCTGCGGAAACCGGAAAAGAAACTATAAGGTGAATGACTTCCTTGGAAACACGATGAGTTTATTGGCGGAAAATGACGTCGTTTTCAAATTATTTAATATCAGGTGTCAGCGATATTAGCTTCTGAACTGAGACAATGATAAATCGACAGCAGAAAACCCAGAATGTGAAGTATCTAAACTACATACAGTTTATTCATAAAGCCAGAATATATATTAATATACAACATACAAAACATGCATAGTATTTTAACACGTTAGTGAAAATTATCATTACAAAACTCCTCCCTTGTTCATGGCACTTTTTTTTAAATTTTTATTTTTAGTGTAGCTTAACCATTTAGAAATTCACCAAGGACAATTCAGTCATACTAGTGCTCTCAAAAAAACCTGCTCCTCATTTTGTCTTGATTTTGTTTCCAAACGCGTACTTCTTGTCTTCTCCTCATCGATCGATACAAAGCTCACAAAATAGTTCTGGACAAGTTACGCGCCAGAGCCAAGCGAATCAAGTCGATTCTATCTCTTTCCTCATCTTCTTGAGCCTATGGAGGAAATTTGCTTTACGTCAGATATCGACATACTGATAAAGTTAAGCAGCCTCAGTAACATGAATTTCCCTAGAGTATTATTACTCACATGCACTAGATGTGATGCACCTCTCCGCAAGTCAATATAAGTCTATCTGGTTTGACGGCTGGCCCTCAAAACTGGCCCTAACTCTACTACACTCCTCCAAAGAGAGGCACTGAGACTGAAGTGTCCCGGCTAGCCCACAATTCACCATTAAAAATTTCACAGCGCCCATATCTGTAATTTCTTTCAAGAGCGGGACACATCTCTGCTGTCACCGTTTCCTTTCGAATGGGAAGAAGATATATTATGAAGTAGATAGGCTTACGTGCTTGTACAAAACTGAAAACTATGTAAATGACAAACAGCTGTGCTTTTGAATAATCAGAAATCAAAAGCGATCGCGGAAAGAACTTAACCAATCCGAGCGGTTTTCGAACTGAGCAGATTTTTAATTCCTTTCAGATATAACTTGGATGTTATTTACCCCTATGCAATAGCACGAAGATGGCTTTAAAACACACGAAAATGGAAATAAAAGCTTTTCAGTTTTAAAGCTGATCTGAAACAACTGATCAATACCAAGATTCCACAATGAATATTGCGTTAAATGATCTCAAATGTACAGCGATGTGTGTTTTTTTACGTTGTTATTGTGTTATTGTAACCAATTCGATGAGTACATTACAATATCTATCACAGATCTGATTAAAGCAGCGCTCCAAAACATCACGCAAAGCACTGCAACTCTGACGCAACTGACAAAAATATACCGCTTGAGTTCATGAGTTCAAGTAGCCGGCATAACAAAGATACGCTCCCAGTTGATATTGGCATTTTAAACTGAATCACAGAACAAACTATAGTATGACAAAAACAGGAAACCTGGAGGAGTGACTCTTTAAAAAAGCTCATTCTTTCCACACATTCTCTGCAAGAGCGTGAAGGGCAGGTCACGCCCTCTAAAAAGCAAATTTGGTCGGCTTCCACAGTGTAATCAGAAATAAACACTTATCATGCGAGCGGCGGTACACGAGAGATTTTTTTTTCGATAATCCTGCGCAAATCTGGACTAAGCTACTCCAAGATCACGTCCAAAGAACAAGCGATCGATCTATTTTTGGCTAAATTCCCGCACGTCCTTTCGCATACCAGATCAAAACAAGGTTTTGAACCTCAAAAACACTCCAAAGTGACATTAATCAAAAAGGAGTGCACAAAATTGTCTGATAGCAATACAGAGCTAGCGTGAGAGTTTGAAATTAGACAAGAGGATTGCTTTAAAATTTGTAAAAAATCATGTCAAAATGACGAATTTTTACGATGTTGGACTTTGGGTTTACACGGGTCTGATTTCGACAGGAAATATGTCGAAGGAAATTTTTTTCACGGTCAGTTATGCAGTTCATAATATCCACATCTTATAAATTTAGCCATCAATTTTCAAGATCGTCGCCGCATAATCGTAATCCGTGTCATCCAGTCTTAATCACTACCATTTTAGTTTTATATTACTTCTATCGTTTTTTTTCTTTTTTAACTGAGCTAATACTTCATGGTTTCATCCGATTTTGTACGTCAGAGAATTGATATGTTCTCAATATTTCCTTCTTAACAAGAAGCACGAACACTAACTCTGACAAAGACCGCCGCTTTAAAACAAGTTGAAAACTTGTTATAAACCAGACCAACGGGCTGACTGCCAAATAAGAGATGGGGGGCGAATTGTGTTCTTTCTTTTTTTCCCGTTTCCTCGCTTCTACATGAGAATTGAATGCCGATGGTTGATCTTTCTCTCTTTGATCCGACTCTTAGTCTCAAGTACTTGGTACGTAAAAGTTAATGTAGCGAAACATACATCACTAGGACTGTAGATCAGAGTATTAATTGCCCACAAAGTAGACCAAAGTATGACAAAAACGGCTGGAAATGTTGGGTCAGATAAGAAACACGGAAACTCCACAGAAAGCATGGAAGCACCAGACTACAGGACGTTACAAAACATAACGAAGCGTTTAGGTGAATTTTAAAAAAGTCGCCCAGATTTTTGTTGACTTAAATGACTTTAGGAAATCACCTTTGTTTGATAGGCGTCCTTAACTTTGCCAGAAAAACACTCTTAGTCAGTTTTGTATTTACCTTATCATTGTATGGACAGAATCACCTAAAGTACTTTATTCTAGCCCCTTCAACAGGCGCCATAGGCACTATTTGAGCATGAAGCTTACGGCAATGGCACGTGAGGAAAAAAAAAAACTGTCATTTTGCCCAGTTCCCCTATAATGCCGACTAAATTGAACAAAAGGGAAAAATTCTGGTGTTCGCAGGAAAGGAAATAATGTTAAATTTAAAACACAAACACTTAGAATCTGTCGTAAGAGTGATGCTTAAGCTCTAATAAAACAGGAAGGAGTGGCCGAATGGTATGCTAAAATATTTTGTGAAGACATTTTTCGTTTTATTGAGCCATGAATCTGGATGTTGGATTCATAGAAAAAGGAGAGGCAGCTTCCCAAGACAAATACCCAAGATCATGAAACCACCGTGAACCCTGACCACAAAATAGAAGATTCGCGAGTGCTGAATATTTCTGAAATGAGCTTTGCAAATCGCCCACTAACTTTCATGAATCTTTACAAATTTTCAATCCCAAAGTACATGGAAAGTTGTAAGATTCACCGAGAAATCATCTCCGGAAAAACTTTTCCGGAGATGATTTCTCAATGAATCATCAACTGTGAGGTACTATTTTAAAAAGGACAAAGTCCTAACTGGAACAAATGCCGATGCTCGAAACCAACATCAATGATAAATAAAATAATGTAAATTTATTTTTGAACAAGGGTTGGGATGCCACGATATACCGTCAAAAATACAAAATAAAGGTACCGCAAACTTTTTTTAGCCAAGCATTCGTGACCAAAAATAAATCTGAAAGATAAATATTGAATTTGGCGTTCATATTGGTAGCCGGCCGACAAAGTTCCTCTGACTTCAGACACGGGGTTTACCCAACCGACCACAGTGGTGTTGTATGTTGGACATACGATACAGGAATGGAGCAATCAAAAAAGAGACGCTCGGAAAATAATGCCGCTTGACAGAAAAAAATCATGCAAAGAAAAAATAAGAACTCTATTACAAGCTTAACTGTAATCCGCTTGCGCCTCCAGACAATAGAGCAAAAAGTTCATCAAATACAGATCGCCTTACTTTTACATTACAAGGAGATTGAGATACACGGGAGAAGAGCAAAGTATTTCACCGTTTTTTTTTTCCTTCTCTTTTCTAAATCTCTATAATAAGCTAAAAGCCAGCGGTGCGTAAAGAAACACTCCATACCATCAATATCAAAATTTATTTTTGAAACCGTCTCTGTTACGTGTGGCTGCCAGTCCAAGGAAGCAGTGTGGTTTCCAGACCCCGACCGAGTAGCCAGATCAACAGATCAGTGAAGGCACGCCATATCACGAAGGATGATACTGGCGCACCCGAGGCCGCTTTTATCGGAACCATCAAAACGTTTGAAGATAAACAAGCCGCAAACAAGTCAACTTTAGATCTCTGAAAATATCACACCCAGGTTTCAGTTCAAGATGACACCATTTGTTGCTGTCAGCTTTTCGATCCTTTTCAGATCAGGACGAGAAAAAAATGTTTGCTATTTATAAAAAGTCGACAGCACGTGCCATGGTTCGATAGCATGTCGCTTACCGCTGCCTTTGATCGCCTTAATAGCTTTAGTGTTGGCCTTTCGAAACGATAAGCCCAGACTAACCTTCTTGACGTCCGTTTCAAAACACAACACAAGAAATGTAAACAGGGAAGACAAATCTACCGAAAGACCTGTGCACCGCTCAGACAAGCGGCAAGTTCTGCCGATCACTGCTTCTGGAACGTGCCATCAAAACCAAAAACACTTTATGCATGCCTAGAACGAAACAGCTGACGAAAACAGCCCATATACAGGGATTTACAATCGAGGATAAACCAATATTTCCAGTGGAATTTTTTCCCACTCTAATGTAGATGTAAAAGAAAGAGAAGAACACTCGTCTCGTTTTGGCGAATGCTAAGAAATGTGCAAAACATAAAACAAGAAAGTAATGCAAAATTATAGCATAAGATCACAAACAAGTATCCAATATCAATATTTTTGTCTGACAGTAAAGATTGAGACTAATTGGAAACAAATTTTGGCGAGAATGCATCAAAATTGACAATAAAAAGATTTATAACCATGTTGCTGTGAACAACTCGCATGGAACCCAGCCCTTTCCTCATCTGAATCGTAAATTACAATTTTTTTGAGAAGGTAAACGAAAACCAACACAAATCAAAACTACGTCAGGTAAAGGCCACCATGATTCGCTTAAAATCCATGAAGTCCAACTGAAGGCCAAAGTAAAGCTAGGTTATAAAAGCCGTCGATTATTTCGGTTTAATCAAGAATTAACACGAGTAACATTACACTTTTCGAAAACACTTATTTCATGAGACATTTTCCTGAAGGAGAGTTGATATTCAATGGTTTAATGAAACGATTGTTAATGTTTGGGCAGAATTATCCTCTTGACACTAGGTTCGCATTACAAGCAACGACTGCATTTTACATTATTATTTGTCATCCATTTACCAAAACAGTAAGTCGAGTTCCGCTTGAGAAGCACGTGGGAAATCAGCAGTCAGTGAGGTCTTCAGCAGGGAACCCAACTCAATAATTCATCAAAGAAAACTCCGACAAGATAAAAGCCTGAATGATTACCACGATTGGCACTGCACGTGCGTGCAAGAAATTATAATGGATGAACTAAGTTCATTTCGTTTTACGACTTCGTAAAAGAGTGAGTTTTTTAAAGACACGAAGAAGGGGCGTTATTATAGTTTCTATGATAAAGCGGCAGTGTGTTGTTTGATTCGGTGTCCGTTTTAGACGCAGCGCCTTCCCTTTCTGCGAACAAAACCGCCCCACGGCTCACTGTGAACAGCTAAGTACACATAAAACATTTATTTCTGCTTGAAGAAAGGCGGCTTCTTTGAAATGCATCGGGCAAAGTCGTCGACCATTTAAATTCAGTCATTGCTTGAATGAGAAAGAAAAGATTAACTTAACGATATAAACACGGTTTTCAAATTTCGATCGAGGGCAATAAAGAAGCCGGTCCTTCAGAAGTGTTTTTGAATAGTTTCGTTAACGACGTCTTTCAAAAGAAGTTCTATTCTAAAAGCTTTAAAGGTTTGCCGCTTCTCGGAGGAAAAAAGAAAAATTATCGGCCTAGAAATTTATAAACATTATTTTCTTTCTTTCTTCCCTCCCCGACAACGACAGTTATAAATCGTTTCTTCATTAGACCTACATGAGGTTTGCGTTAATAGAGTATTGAAAAATTTTATCGGGCGACTCGGTTACCATGGTTTTCCATTTCACAGACAGGTATTGTCGAGACAAAAAAAAGGAAAAAATATAACCGCTTGATTTTATGTCAAAATAAAGATTCTGTTGGAGGGTGCAGTGAATTCTTCATATTTTAAACTAAAACATCAAAGTAGGTAGCTTAGGTCACCTGCAAATAACACCTGTAGTTCTCCTCTGGCAGAGCGGAAAATCTTTTATAAGAACAATTTTTCAAAGCAATAGAAGAGGAAATTTACCATTTATTACCATTTTTTGCTTCTAGATCAACTTCAGACCATGAAATCTCACACTGAGAAACGGGAAACAGGCGAGTAACGGAAATGAAAACCATAGAAGAAAAAACACGAAAAAAAAAAAAGGGAGAAGACAATTTGGCACTCTTCCTGTTTCCCATTTTAGCAGCTATCAATTCCGTTAATTTTTTTTTCTGTTGGATCGCACAACTGAAGGGCTCTACCTTTTTCGAACTGTGACATTCAATCAATAGTTTTATTACGTAGGGTCATGCCTTGTACTAAACCATTTCCGTTACTTTTCTACTTAAGTACATTTATCTATCTCTCCCGTAATTGAAGACTGGTAATCGAATTGTCTTTTAGTTTCTATCTATGAAAAACTCCTCAAAAGATTGTCTTGTTAGCAAAACCGACCAATAAAAAAAAACCGTAACCTCACTATCTTGACAGAACATATCACCTGGGAGGAAACTTCTCTCAGCAGCTAAATTAACGCGACACACCTGAGAAAAAACATTGCCTTAGGCAACAGGTTCTGAAAATAGAGACCGAAATCCAAGGAGATATACATATCCATAGCACGTACGATAACGCTGAACGCACGGAAACTGAACAACACCCAACAATGGGGCATTAGCAAGGACCCAGGCTCTAAAAGTAGCCACACACGAGGAAGGGAAAAGACATGCGAAGTTTTTAACATGCGCGTGTAGTTTCAAAACGATTTCCTACTGCGATTCCCCTCCCGTCTCCAACAAATAGAAAAAAAGTGGCGGCATTTTTGGTTTTAAATAAATGTACTAAAAAACACTCATCAACCAACAGAAAAGATAATAATAATAATAATAATAATAATAATAATAATATAATAATAATAATAATAATAATAATAAAACCAACGAACGGAAATTCAGAGTGCCTTGATGTCAAAAAGATACTTCTCACTACAAATACCAAATGAAAGACAGAGAATGGTTGGGAGAATCGCGCACTGGGGAGTTTATTTCTGTTAAAGATTGGAAAAGGAAGACCAACTCTTGCCATTTTCCGATCGGATACATCAGCGAATAAAGAAAGTCTCACATGCCTCCGCAACATCGCTCGAACTGGCCACAAATGACCTGAAATCGATAACACTTTCAAGGATAATATTCTTTAAATAAAAAACGGACCAGACGATGCTTACAAGGACTATTACTGAGAAACATGTTTCGCCAACTCGATGAAAACACTTGTCTATAGATCTATTGGCTGTTATTCCATCTATTTCCCGCAAGGCGGAGAGACGGAAGAGACCCGATGATAGACGTTTACCTCTTGAATTCGTACAGCAGGCAGACAATTTGCTCTCTAACTCAACAGAAGTATTCCTCAGAATCATGATTCCATAATGAACAACTGTGACCGGCAAGTAACCAGGTTATAACACCATTTAAACTAGTTTTGACTTCGAACAATTTTCATATCTTTTCTAAATAGCTGCCATACTTAAAATTTCGGCGTTCCCAACAGCTGCGAAACACATGCAGAGTAACTACACCGGCTGAGAAAGATCAGTAAAACGGAAATGTTTTTAGTTAGTGGAAACGACATAAAACGATGAAAAACAACTATTGACGATGATAACCGGTGTTGACAGGTAAAAGAATTGGCCAAAAAAAAATGAAAGGAATATTAAGAACTGGAAGAAATTCAGTAGGTCAGTGTTCGCTTTGATTCAAAACTTAAAGAGAAGACAGAAATTAAAAAAGTCACCCAACTTTTATACCTACAGTATTACATTTCGAAAGTACCAGACCTCCACTCATGCGTGTCAATATCATCCAGGCGAGATTTAGTAAGAAAACGGCGCCATTTCCAATTTCCGCTCTCACGTGTTTCTAACAGTGTCATAAATAACTTTGACGAGGAAATGAGCTAGATTTCGAGCAAAATGAGCAAGCACTATCTTTGTCGCATGAAATCAAAACAAACAAAAAGTTGGCCAAAAAAAAATGAATTAAAATAACAATAATAATAATACACTAGTTGAGATACTCTGTCAGAACATTCAACAGGGTCTTGTTACCTTAGTACTCTTAACTGACTGTGGTCCTGGACCTTGTGTTAAAGTTCTGATCAAGGGCTCATCGGTTGGTTCCTTGTCAGGATGGTCCAGGTACTCCTTGGTCCTGAACGAGAGCCTTATTGCTTCGAGGCAGTGCATAAGTTCGTATGTCTGTGCGCTTGAGAAGATCACCTAAGAAATCAAGGATTCAGCATTATGTTCGGAGGGAAACGAAAAAAGGAATAGAGAGTATTTCGTCAAGTGATGTTTCCCTTAGCCATCCACCCTAGCTACTCGAATGTAGTGTTGTCACGTAATGCTACGGTCATCCAACCAAACGGTTGCGTGATCAAGTAACGACAACGATGAGAATAGCTGTCGCTGTGACTTTTTCACCGCGATTGAGAACTGAGTGCGTTTGACAATGCAACATCAACACTTTACAGGAGTTAAATTTGCGCATTGATCGTGATCTCAATCACATATTGATGTCTGTCTGTGTTTGAATTAGATTTGTGAGAACTACTTTAAGTTTTACAGGAATAATCCTCTGTCCTGATGGAGTGGGTACACTGTCAAAAAAGAATTTCCCAAGTTGAGGGTAGGAAAGGTATGATCTTAAATCAAATTTCGTTCCGTTGGGGCATAATTCTCAGAACTATGCAAACTTTTTGGAGAAAATGCCTACAATTTTTTTTGAGCTAAGATAACCCCTGGTTCTTTGAGCAGAGTAACTTCCGCAAATTTACCTCTTTATGTTCCAGGAGAGGTAAAGTATCCGTTAGCAGCGTCAGCCACAACCTGAAAGTCACACAAAAAATGAAGCCATGGATGTCAGTGAAACATTGTCACGTAGAAGACTGGTTGGAACAATTTTTAACTGAAAACGGCATTTCATCGAGAACGGACATCGCATAGTTTCTTAACGAAAACCCCTGCGTTTACAATTTCAGTCTTTCTCTTTTCAACGGATCCACAAATCTGATGACCTCAAGAACGCCCACAACACCAGACAGTGAAAAACTGCGGAGTATGTCAGGCATTTCCTTAAAGACATCATCGAAAACATGGATGCCGAAGGATGGCAGACCGTTAAGGGAACACATCACAAAAACAAAAACAACATAAATTGGAATAGGCCAATCAGAGCTGTTGAAGATCAACCAATCCCAAACTCAGCCGAGTGAGATGAACGCCAGATAATTATTGTTGTACTTCAACACGATAAACATTCGCAACCTTTTTTTTTAACGATATCAGGATAAAATGTTTTAAAAGAAAAGGTTAAAATACTGTTTTATATTTTACACTTAATATGCACCAATAAGAAAGTAGAAAAAATGTGAAAAAGTACTTTTATTAAAAAAGAAATGAATACAAGAGGTAACACTCTGGCCAAATTTCAAGAGAAGTAAAGAAAATTCTACGCCATACTCTAAAGTATCATGACTTGAAAAAGCAAACTCGAGGCTGGCCTACCCGTTAAAAGACCTCACCCCCCGGTTGTTCGAAGGTCGGATAACGCTATCCATTGGATCAATCTCTATCCGGTGGATAGCGTACAATGCCGGATCCAGGGGGTCCGGACCCCCCCCGTCCCTAACAAACCTGACGCTTACAACTTTGAAATTGAAATTCTTACATCGACAGGATCGTATATCATTTTAACGAGCTGATCTGTTTAATGAATCCAAGTAAACGCTAAGCAACCGAGGAATTATAACGTGCAACCACAACTGGTGGTGTGGGGGAGAAGTAATTTGCCTCAAAAGAGTCCAACAGTCGTTTCTGAACCAAAGTTTGGACCCCCCCCCCAATCAAAAATTATTGGATCCGCCCCTGGCGTAGTATGTTTTGCCATCACGTATTCGCTAGACAGCGATTTATCCGTTGGATAGCGTTATCCTCTATTTATTCAACTGGGCCCTGCCTTACGATTACCGCACATTCCCTTATAATCCTTCTCCTGATATTCATTGAAGCACCAAACCCAAATAATTCGATCAAAGCGTACTGAATGCACGACAGAGACCAGTGGGCGCTTGTTGGAGACTACACTGCCCACTTAAGCCCATTGGCCACAGCAATCAATCTACAATTACTTTCCGTAATACCACAAAACTATCCGGCGCTGGTCCAAGCGCAATATATTTAATTCACGTCGCGTTTGCTTGAGGCTTTGTTTTCTTTCAGAGCAAGCAGCAATATCGTTGTAAACTATATACTCTAAGATGCGAGCATACTAAAGGTCTGTCACGGAGTCCTAAGATCGAACACTGTTTTCTAAGTTGCCCAAATTGTCCTGTCCATATGACCTAAAGCTTCTGGTTATTATCATTCAATTTTATCAAACGAAATGTCCGCCTAAAAAGAAGTTTTAAAGTTTGCCGGTAGCTTCACCTTGTTTCTGTTTGCGTGCAAGTTCCACAGAGCCAATGCCGCCATAAAACACCGCTTGAAGAACTAATACTCTCAAGATATCATTGAAATAAGGATGTCAGTTTTAATTGTCTCCAAAGAGGCGGGCAAACGGAGGTCACGGGCTCTCATTTTATGCTCTAATTATTATTTTTCTTCCATTGAGTTCCTTCAAGGAAATAATACTGTCATTGGCGCAAAAAAATTCATCGCGTTGGCGTTCCTTTATTGCAAAAAGTTGTCGAGTTTCAAAGACAGAGGTGTTTTCGTGACGCTGCGGTTGCACACAAAGAGGAGTTGGAGGAAAATATTTGCGGAGATGTCGTGATTCGAGGGCCGAATATTTATAACTGCGGCAAACAGAGCCATTACGGTGCATTTTTGCCGTCACGAATGAACAACAGAGATGACGTTGTTCCAAAAACAGAACCGGCTAACGTCAGTAAAAGCTGAGTTTTCCTAAACGGGGAAAAGTCAATTAAAAAGTAAAAACTTCCTGAAAAAATTTACGCCCCCAAAGGCTATGTTCGTGTATCATCGCACGTCCGCCGACACTAAAGAATGGAACAAACAACGCACTTAATATAGATTAACTCTTCTTTGAACTTGTCGTATTTACCTTTAAATTTCGAGGTTCAATACAATAGCTGTAAGCCTTCCTTTACGCAACGGAAGGTTGGATTTCCTTAGACACGATGGTAACAGGAGCCTTAGGCAAGAATTCTTGAAAAAATTGGACGAAGTTGTACCAAAATTGTTTGCGATCAACTACAAAGCACTCCTTGCAACGACCTCTAGTACAAATTTGACCCATAATTAGTATGTGTGAGATACTCAAAAGTAGGCGTCGCAAGATAAAAGGAAAGTCACAATTAACCCCGGAACAAGATAGTATACCGCATTCACTCGATTAAATGCTACCCTCCGAATTCATTCGAGAGCAAAAATTGCATAATATGCGCCACTCTGGAAAAAACACTACGGCTAGCAATGCAGCGCTTACTCGGGGAATTCAGCGAAATACATGCTATTGTAGAGTACAACTTTGCCTAACATAATAATTTGGATATATCAACAAAGTTGAAATGGTAAATTGGCCAACGTAACGATTACAAAAGCTGACGTTTCGAGCGTTAGCCCTTCGTCGGAGGAGGGCTAACGACGAAGGGCTAACGCTCGAACGAAGGGCTAACGCT